TGTTAACTACTGTATTGCCAGCGCTTTTAGCATCCCTTCCTTCAGTCTGTAGTAAACACATGCAGGTTGATGCATGCTTCAGATGCGAGCGTCTTTTGCTGTGTGAGAGCGTGTGGGGGCTGGCCCCTTACATTTTGAGCTCATTAACGGTGGAAATACCTTTTGCCCAGCGCTCAGCAACACCTTTGTTTGTCTCCCATGTGTGGAGACCTTTTCAATCTGGATGCGTGTGGGGGGTGGAGCACGTGATGCAGCTGCAGCCGGAAAAAACACCAACCAACATCATATTCTCAGATCCAAGAAACAGAAGACAATGTTGTTGTGCATCAAAAATGGGTCATAATTAGAGCGATCTGAGCTGTCAGTGACACGGCTGCTAAAAATACTAGCAGGGTTTGAGTCTTGCTTGGCAAAAGTGGCATCGTAATTGATGCAAGTATCTAGCAAACAGCCGGGAGACTGGTTGACTTGTCATTGTGCGAGCTCATTTCATACTTGGCTTTGTTGCTGGCAGTCTTTTAAGAGGCAGTGCTGCATGTACGCCCACACCGCCGCATCCCTGCTCCGAGTCTCAGCTCTCTTTAGACCTTTCTCAAACATTGTCTCTGTCAGTGCCCCTGCATGGCCCTGAATCTCTTGTTTTGCCCAGTTCTTCCAATTTGGATGCAGCTGCACAGTCGGTCTGACTGCAGGAGGCTTTATGCTGCTGAATATCAAGGCGTCAATCAAAGAAACCAGGCTTAATGCTGAATAACAGCCTCTGGCCTCCTGAAACAATCCCAAGGCAGAGCCTGCATGAACGCTCGGGGGGGATTTTCTTCTTGCGGTGCGGAAATATAATTGTTAACCTTAACAAGTCTCAGTGAAAGTTAAATGATTATTCTGGGGTCAAAGCATGTTACGCTGCATGTGTGGCATCTGTGACATGCTGCTGATTACCTGACGTAACTCTTTTTCATTTATAGCGTGGCACAGGTTCTTTTATTGCATTGCATTCAATACAGACTGCAAACTCGAGGCTTAGTGCTTAATTCTTCCCGAGGAGCACATGTTCCTAATTTGAAAAATTTAGGAGCGCATCAAGAACAATTCAAATGCATCAGATAATTTGTTTTTCCTCAATAAAGGGATGCAATGAGACATTTAAAATCAGGATTACTTGATTTATTTAAAACAAAAGTGCAGTAGGTTTTTTAAATATTTCTTCCTGAGGGTCCTTGCACACTGAGTCCGAAATTTCCTGCAAGCTAAAAAGTGAACACGACCTCACATTGTGTAAATCACGTTTACACGCTGCCTCCGAAACTTTCGTCTGTCATAAAAAAAAAAATCAGATCAGGTTTGATTTTATGTGTTTTTCCTATCCGTAGCAAGCATTTTAAAAGGGATAGTTCACCCAGAAATTTTAATTCTGCCATTAATTACTCGCCCTCATGTCGTTCCAAACCTGTAAGACCTTCGTTCATCTTCAGAACACAATTTAAGATATTTTAGATAAAATCCGAGAGCTCCTCTGACCCTGCTATATAAGGGCCTTTCGCACCTCATATCGCAAAAATCATGGCGGGTGAGGGCGTTTTCATACGCGTTTGGCCAATCAATGTCTACTTACGTCACGATTAGTACCAGTTGTGCTGGTTAGACCCTGCTCCGGAGTAGGAGCTAATTTGGTTCTCGAAAAAGGCAGTCCGGTACTAAAATCGCACCCAGTTCCGGTGGTGCGAAAACACCAAAAAGTGGCTAGTTCCACAATTAGTTCTGGGACTATGAAAAGGTTCCCGCGGTGAGAAAGGCCCTATAGACAGCAAGGGTACCACTACGATCAAGGTCCAGAAACGTAGCAAGGAGATGGCTAAAATAGTCCATGTGACATCAGTGGTTCAACCGTAATTTTGCGAAGCTACGAGAATACTTTTTGTGCGCAAAGAAAACATAACGACTTTATTCAACAATTCTTCTGCTGCTCATCCCGTCTGCAGTGGTGCGGCGCCATTGTGTAGAGTATCACGACACATACACTTACTTCTGCTTTACATAATTCATTCTGGACCTTGATTGTGGTAGTACCCTTGCTGTCCATAGCAGGGTCAGAGAGCTCTCGGATTTTATCTAAAATATCTTAATGTGTGTTCTGAAGGTCTTACGGGTTTGGAATGACATGAGGGCGAGTAATTAATGACAGAATTTTCAGTTTTGGGTGAACTATCCCTTTAAGTTGTAATTAGCAGAAAATCCTGTGTCAGAACCACTTGAGCTTGTGGGACGAGTGAATGATGCATGATCTCTCCCTGTGCTGGTGACGCAGGGGAAGGTGGCGGAGCGCGGCAGTCATCAGGCTCTGCTGAGCACGCTGGGCAGTCTGTACGCAGACCTGTGGAACACACAGAACAGCAGAAGCACGAGCGCCGCGGCCCGGCCTGAGCCTGTACCCGAGCGCCTGGCGCAGAGAGAAGAGGAGCGCAAGAAGCTGCAGGAGGAGATCCTCAACAGCGTGAAGGGCTGCGGGAACTGCTCCTGCTGAGCTCTGCTCCTCTCCTCCAGACCGCCACTGGACTGGGATCACAGCGAGGAGTCGAGGATGTTATTTCATCCTGAACTGACAGCGGCGTCCTTCTTCTTTGTGACTTTTCCATAACCTCAGGGGCCAATGTCATGCCTTTATTTTCACATGCTGTCAAGGTTTTAATAGATTTGTCCATGCCATCTGGAACTCTTGTAAGTTGTCTTTATTATGCATATGTACATATCACAAATGCAATATTTTTGAGAATCGCATTGTATAGAGTGCATAGATATTTTGTCTGTTGAATTATGTTAGATATGTCTGGACCATTTAGAACATTTCTCCCTGAACACTGGCACCTCTGATGTCTCATCAACATTAATTTATACCAAATCTGAATGAGATGTCATCGAAAGTACATTCAACAACTTGTATTAAATAAAACTCCCTTCTTTGAGTGTCTGAGAGCATGCGTTTCTTTCAGCTAATCATATTTGGTTTAAAATCAGTAATACATAAGTGACGAAGCTTTCATTGTGATGTTCAGTGCTTCACGTGTTCCAGGTCACAGCATGTCCATGAAATCATTCAAAAGCTGTCAGTCATTGTTGGAGGAGATGATCATTTAGACCCTGAATGTATAGAGGTGTATCTGTTGTAATGTGTGGCGCTCCATCACATTCGTTCATCAGTGAGTGGGAGATGAATGAGGGGTGTTGGGTGAAGAAATGGGTCAATGACGTGACTCATACTTTTGTCTGGAAGAATACACTAAAATGCATTTGATACAACTTGAATGCACCTCTGCTATAATGAACCTTTTATGAAAAATATTTTGCTATATTTATATATTTTACTTATTTTTTTGTTTGTTAAAGAAGCGTAAAGGTGGTGGTGTCGATTGTAACAAAGAAAAACAACTCTTATTAAAAGGCGGAACTTCTTGGGGAGCAAATAGTTTGTCATGTGTGTATTCTTGAATTACTAAAGAATGATTGAAGTATGGGATTGACATGATATATGCTCCTCATAATACTGATATTTAAGGGGTCGTGTCATACCATGAGATACACTATAGGAAGTACGCTTTTTTTCTGAGTTATTTTAAGGTTACAAAATACACACAAAAATATAATAGGTATTCTGATTCTCCTGTGATAGTCTATTTTTATTTTATTTTATTTTGCACACTGGACACTGTCCCAGTTTGCCAACAGTTTATCGATATGATGTATTATTGGTACACTGGAATTTTCTCCTGATATATCTTGTTGCTAGCTCTATTTGTATTCTGACCCATTCACTATAGTGCAATAAAGCATGCTTTTCAGAGTTCAGACAAGGAAGAATATGCCAGTACAGCAGTCAGGAAAGAGATTAAACGTCAAATCAAAAACTGAATAAGAAAACATGGTTTTGTCATTATGTACTTAATTGATTTGGTTTACAAATAAAACTATTTAAAAGAACTAGATCTCCCAGTTCGCCAGTAATGGAAAATTGTCATTTGGAATTTTATATTTGAAAATAATGATGTGTACATGCACAAGTATTCAAAGTGTTTGCAAAACGTTTCATTTGGTTGCACCAACAGACATTTTGATTTCTATTTTTTTATTTAAATTTTTTTACTCGCAATAAAAACACAATTACAAATAATTGTATTTTAAGCTGGAGTGTGACAGTTTATTAGGCCTGATGAATCTCTATCTTCTCGGATAGTGCTTGATTGTGCTAATATGAGCTGTGATTGGGAGGCTGAATAATATTACAGCAGATGTTGTGCGTTTAATCAAAGTGACCTGCTGGAAATCCATACGTTTACTGAGCAAAGATGCACTCCATGAACAAGAGGGGGAAAAAACATGGCACTTCATATAGAGAAAGCTTTCAGATGATCGTGACATGATAAACAGCAGATATAAATAGCATTCTTAAGTGCATGCAAATATTGGCAAGGGTTCCTGGAAATGACAATGTACAATATATTGTAATTACAGGCCATGTTTTTAGTCATCTGATTTGTGTTAATTAGGTAAGCTTCTTTCATGTAGCTCTTTCTTAAATGCACAACGTCATGCCCGTTACATGAGCTGAACTCGCTTGTTTGTCACAAATGGAATCTGCAGGTTTTCCATTGTGGCACATAAAAGCCTAACGAGGCCCCCCTCTCAGCTTTTGTGCGAGCCGTACAAAAAACACATCCTGCTTTACGTCTGTTCAAGCTGTTCTCATGAATGTCCTCAGCCCAGCTCACATCCTGCATCTGAGAAAGCCGCCGACTTACACCCAACCTGCAGCATGAGACAAATGATATGCACATTCAGATTTAGATCGCATATATCCTTGGTAAATTTCTGCATTAGCGGCTGAGATTTTCTGACATTCTGGGAGCGCCTGAGTCCGTTCTTTGAGTTCCACTTAGACGTCTTCGCCTGGGCGAGCTTTTATGCTGTTTGAAAGGAAATAAGAGGCTCTCAGCATCTACAAGTGCCTTAACTAGAGCGGCCTTCCTCCAGTCCTGCTGCACTCAGCTGGGGTTTGTGGGACGTGACCAAGGCTAAAACTAATGTGCTTCAGCATCGCAGTCGTTTTTGACGTTTCTTTAAAAACAAGAAAAATACCCTGCTTTTAGATTCCCGTCGTTCGGGGAATTGCAGAAGGCTGCTTTAGAGGATATCGTTGCTTATTATAATCAGGCGCTACTCATAGATCCGGCTGTATAGTGTTTTATATATGCATGACATTTCCTGACACTTTTACAGCGTAGCCATGCAATCGCATGAGTATTGTGGAAATAGTTTTCAAATACAGAAAACGGAAAGCACTGTATGACTCAAACCAACATGAATTCAAAACTGGCGGTTTCTGGCAGCCATTGACTGTCATAGCATGGAAAAAACATACGTGGCTATCAGCAACTTGCTAGAGGTTTATTCTTTAAAATGTCTTTATTTATGTTCAGCAGAAGAATGGAAATCACACAGGTTTGGAACGACATGACGGTGAGGAATTATTGAGAACACTTAATTTACTTTTTTTTTTTTTGGGAAATGTTTTGTTTGGATGTGTGAAATATGAAGAGGAAGAACAGAAAACTTGGTTTTGAACATACATTTTCAAAGCATAAACCAACTGTATGTTTTTGCTTGCTGACTGCATTGCTTTGAGACTATTTCCAATTCACTCGATAAACAAAATGCAAAAATTATTCATATTTGCAAGTCCTTCAAACTTTCCCTGTGATATTTTATTTACTGTGTCTATTTATTCACCCCTGTCTCTTTTTTCCTTTTTTTTCTTCTTGTGTTGTAACTGCACTTTCATTATTTATATGCTGTTCTCAGTGAAAACAGATTAAAACTAAACTAAACTAAACAAAACTATACTGTATACAATAAACCAAAATAATCTGAATAATCTGAATTTAAAATGATGGAAATATTCATTTCTGCCAGTTATTTATACACGGTATCACAACTTAAATGCGAAGCAAACTGTAAAAGCCGCTCGATGCAGACTAGCTCTCCGCTCACTGACCTCTATACAGATTATATATTTGCCCCCGGTTTCATAGACAAGGCTTAAGGCTAGTCCCAGACTAAGATGCATGTTTGAGCTGTCTCAACTAAATATCTTAAAATATGTCAGTGCCATTGATCTGTCTCAAGATGCACACCAGTAACGTTTTCTTCTAAGGCATTTTTATAAAAGCTGCTTATCTTAATTTAACTAAGGCCTAGTCCTGGTTTAAGCTAAGCCCCGTCTGTGAAACCGGGCCATATTATGTTATGTAGCTTACATTATAGATAAAAGTTTCTGCCATGTCTCAAATAGAAACGTCACAACTCATCGATCATCTGGAATTCAGAGTAAATACAGTTTCACTCAGAAGAGCACAACATTTCTCTTTCATAGACATCATCAGACTCTATTTAGGGGGGCTTCATGTATTTCATCTCCCCCTAAATGTCTCCACTCTGAACTCTAAAAATTGATTACGCTACATGCTGACGTTTACATTTTACAGGATTTGTTTGTCTTCACGTCTCGTTTGCTGATGGTAATTATCTAGTAAATGAAAGTGCAATAAAAATGCACATTTATAAATTGTTTGGGTCGACTCTTACTCATTTGCAACTGTGTGTTCAGAACAAACTGATGAAGAGTAAGGTCCTCTCTATTTCTTATAGCACGTCTGGCAGTGTATCACACGCGAAGCTGAAGCAGTTTAGCTGTAGAAGAGAGCGAGTGTGTGTGTGTGTGTGAGAGTGTGTGTGTGTGTGTGTG